AATTTTTTCTTTTTATACTGTCTCACTTTTCAATGCGAAGATTTCATGTTCCATGGCTTGTTATTTTGTATGTCCATCTACTATTGCTTTTCTTAACTCTTTCATCTTTGTCATAATTGCAATAAAAACTTCATACATCTCGATTGATGTTCCTATGCTTTCTTATATTCATTCTAATACAAGATAAGTATTTTAACTATCCGATCTTTCAACAAAGAGTCATAAAAGATGTAGGTGAGTGTATAACAATTCTATAATATTATTCTCCATAATATCTCATAAAAATTATTATTTTTGGATATACTGTTATAATCTATACATAAGTGTTGAACCGAACCGGTGCGTATGATTCGCGATTCAAATCCATGAACATTCAATATTTACTGAATATGATAAAATTTTAAGTTTCTCCATAACTAACTATTGGAAATATCAATGGCAATCTCGACTTCATCTATATCAGTTATAAAATTTGTACACCAACAACCCATAAGATATATCCAAAATTGATGTTTCTCCGTACAACAAAGATGGATATCAAATAGGTTTCAAATTGACTAATGCGATATTGAAATTCTGCCATGCACCTTTATATCTACAAAAATCACAATTATTCCCTAATTTAATATCTCTATATGTAGATTAATGACACATGTCAATTTATACATATGTCATATCTATACAATTTTAAAAACTGTATTACATCGTTACTCACTTGCTATACTATGAGGAATAATCCACATTCAATGAAAGAACAAGATAACTCTATTACCGTTGTAACATTAGGATTTCAAGAGAAATTTACTCGAAGATGATACATAAACTCTAAAGATGTGTCACACAATCAATGCCGTCAAACTCAGTCACATGATTCATTATAATCGTTTTGATATACATTGTTAGAAGAATGGTTAGAATAGAAACAAGAAAACTCAGAACAATAATATACATGTTTCATCAATCACAACCTACGTCTATAAAAACAGTAGTCTTTTTTGAAAATCTATAATTATTCAAGTCAAGTGTGTCTTGACCTTGCATATATAACTTGTAGCTGAAATTCTACGATTAACTATAATCCATTTTAGTTAGACCTGTTAGATCGGATGTTGTATGTATGAAATAAAATTAGAATTAGCTAAAGAATTAATCGTGGTTAGCTTAGTTATAATTAAGTTTGTCACGTTATAATTATGCTCAGTTATAATGTCTATATTTAACAGAAGAATTAGAGAAGTTCAAGAAGATTTAAATAAGCACATTTTTATTTGTTTTGTACAAAAAGTCTAGATTCCAAGAGAAAATATCTTCATTTTCATGTTGAATTTGATTGGTTTGACTAAATATTAAAAACTTCATTAGTTAGATTAAGTCTAAAGTTGACTTTATGTCAAATAGAGGTTCTAGAAATTGAAAATGAATAAAAAGTATGTCGCCATATCAATCTAGGGATTAAGAAACTTCTAGAAAGTTTAAGAGTACAATGAGATGTTGCCAACTGTTGAGTATTAGTCAAACTTACTATGCATTATCTTTGTAAAGTAAAATAGATAAGAATTATCAATTATTACTATGATAACTTCTCAAGTGGTAAATATAGAGAGGTAGAGAAGAGTCTCTAAGCAAGTTTGAAACGTTCATGAGTAGAGAATTGTTTCATATATGAAAGTATGACGTTTTTCAACATCTTGGAGTGTCGATGTGTGTGTGAATTTGAGTGATGAATTGAGTTAATGTGTTAAAAGGTATTTGGATATGAGTATGAGGAACAATTCTAGCCTTTTAAACCATTACGAACCATCGCAAAGCCATGAAAGATAAACCTGAGTGAGAATCAGCCCAGATGTTGCAAATCTAAAGTAAAGGATATTCAAGATTGAGTATAATAGATAATAATGTAATATCTATAAAGTCATATAATCAATCCGTGGTCTTGTTAGATAAGGATTGAATGTGTTAGTTGGAAATGACACGTGAGCAATCTGTGTGCTCATTAGGTAATTCCATCATGTAATCAATTCACTAAGAGTGGATTGGATAGTAAAAAAGATATCTTATATTTGTGTATGTGTTTAAAATATCTATATAAAGAAGATAAAAATCATTCACGTTTGAAGATCTTGATGGTAATTGTTACTTGCATTGTCGCTTTGTATGTTATTTTATAGTATCTTTTTTTTTACTCTTTCATCTCAATTGTGATCATATTTAGTAACTCATACATGTCAAGTGATATTCTTGTTCACTTTAAGGTAAGTGTGATAATTCTTTAATTCTTTTAACAAAAGAATCACAAGATATAGAGATGATTCTATACTATTTCCTGTCATAATTTTTCACAAAATATTTCCCTACACTTTATTCAATCAATGTCATTCAATACATCTAATATCCACATGCGTTTGAATCAAACCAATATAGATGGTTCATAATTCAAATTCATGGAACATTCAATTGAAAATGTTATAGTAGAATCTCAAGTACTTTCATAATTAAAAATTGGAAATTTTAATAAAATTATTGATTTCATCATTCGAGTCATAAAATTTGCATCTCGATGTGCATTTAGAAAAAAAAATTCATTAAATTTTTTTTTAAAAATAGATTGGAGATCTATCATTACAATATATGAAGACCATCAAACATCTCCATATTTACAAAATCATGAAAAAAAATCTATCTAATTATAGACACTCTATCTAATTATAGTTCAATTAATTCTTTTAGCAAGAGCAAGAGGACTCTCATATCATTGTAAAATTGACCATCAAGACACTAATTCATTCAAAGATAATACATGATTTTTGAAGATAAAAGATACTTTGAATGAGTTTTTACTTACTTATATAAATTTTATCACTATGTACAAAGAAATAAAATCTCACACCATTATACATTTTAATTTTAATGAATTGATAACATAGATTAGAATCAAAACAAGCAGATGGATTTGTGGCTTGTCAATTAACACACTTAATCTTTATCTATCAATCATATGAATTGTTTTTAAGACAATTTTTGATAATACAATATAATACAACTATATTGAATAAAATATATTTTAAAACTAACTAATAAAAGATTATTATAATAATAACACAATATATACTTATGAAATTCTGTAAATGAATACTTTTGTCAAATTGAGTTTAACTTCAAAAAAAATAGCTAAATTTTTTTAGCAAATTTTTTTGGATAAAATAATATTCAATATCAAGATATTTACTCGCTATAAGTTATTTGATGACGTAAATAACTCTCTATATTTAATTTATTATAAAATATTGATTATATGTTGTTTTCATGAGAAATACAAATAGAATCAACTAATCAAATAGAATCTTTATTTACTTTTTGCTAAATATGCACGCTTTTAATTTAATAGAGCTATGCATACTTTCAAAAAAAATCTTTAAAAAAAACATTGAATCCAAATAGTTTGTCATCTTGAATGTACAATTCATTTGAATTTTGCATTCATTTATGTTGTATTCTTGATTTCTCAATATGAGCATTCTATTTATATATCTCAATATTAGAAAGTTAAACCAAATAATTCATCTATTTTTTCAATAGAGCAAACACACTTAATGAAATTATTTACTTTTCTATGAATTTATCAAATCTTGCCTTATTTTGTTTACAAACTTGCTTCAAACTCATAAAAAATTGAAAATTCTACAAACTTTTCAAAAATCTTCTACTTCAAATATGAAAGTAAAATGCTTTCACAACAATTATTTGATCTACAACTTGATCATATAATGCATACATATAAAACAACTACATAGAAGTCATGTCTTATATATAATATTTTTTTGAATGCTAATGTATGAACTTTTAGTTGTGTGTAAAGCTTGATACTTTTATTTTTCATGTTTTTACATTGATAAGGTAGTAATGATGCAATAATATTTTGGAAGATTAATGTGCTTTTTACTCATTAATAAATAGAAAACGTCTTAGGATATCTTGTTTGATACGCTGCGTAAGTTATATCCCTTTATTTACTAACATTTAATCAAATACACTTTTGGGTTGAAATTGCAAGTCACTTGATATCTCAAACTAAATACAATCGCGATAACATAATTACAATGTATTGATTGTTTATTATCAGTATATATAGAAGAGACTGACTAGAGCCCAACTGGATCCATAACTTGGAAATCATTCCTTTTACGTGGGAAGTATATAAAGCTATGCAAGGAAACTTTGAGATATCAAAGAGATGTAATGTGTGAGTCTTAAAGTTGAGTATTCTTATTTTGCATTATCGTAATATCAACTGAACATTTTAGTATATATTTTTTCCATTTATCATGTAAACCTAGTCTCACTTCTATACTGTAGAGTGGCTGTAGCTCACTAGATGTTGCATCACAGTTGCATATCTTGATGAGTCGATATCTTTATTTTTAATCCATACTTTACGAAATGTAAATTCATGTCTGTGCGCTATGATAACAAGACATATAATACTCCACAAAATTTAGAATCATAATTCTGCATATTGAAAACAAGAGCTTTCCACATCATACAAGAGGCTTCACTGGCGCTTTGAGTGCAGAAAGAGTCTAGTAAGCATAGATCTTCTGCTTCCACCTGTAAACTTTTCAGTGAGGGCAGACGAATAACTCCACAAGTCTTCAGATGCTCTCTTGTGATGGAAGAGACTGGCACACTTTCCAGGGCCAAAGTTCTCTTAAAATCTTGAAATGACATGATTGGACTTCGAATAGTGGGCCTCAACGGCGCCCTCTGTCCAGATTGCGTTGCATTCGGTTGAGACAGTCTCTTATGGACTCTGAGAGTAACTGTACCTCACAGATTGGTTACTGATCCAGACCGACTTACCTCGTTACTGGTTCTTTGGAGATTCGCAGCGAGCGAATTGTGAGATACGAGCTGCGAAGCACTTGCGATTTGACAGTCTTGACCTTTACAGCTGTTTGGCGGCACGGAAGTCGTCACCATGAACATGAACCTCAAGCATCAGTAGCCTTGAAATTATGTTCGCTCATTTATGACAGTTGAAATAAAACAAAATCGGCATTTGTGTCTAACTAGGTCAGGCAATGCCAGTGCCTGTCAAATTCTCGTTATGAGCGAGACATAAGTGCTCGACAAGAGATTAATGCGATAGTCGAACTGCCTCCGAGTGCTTCTCCTACCAACATCGACATCAACACCAACATCGAACTTGCTTAGAGTGGGAAGGTGGCCAATGTCGTTAAGACAACCTCATTTCGAAACTGAAAACTGAACCGAAGGCACGTACACCATGAGCAGGACGACGGCATTCCTTGCATTGGTGGTGTGATGTGAACTCCTAAGAATGTGGTTGTATGGAAATAGGTTGAAAACTGCCTAATCTTAGTTCCTTAATATACATACATACTGTAACGTGTACCTACATCTATCAATGGTAACTGCCTCTCGTCTCCTCAAAACCTCCGGTTGCTTGTTCTCCCTTCCTGAGACTGGAAGTTCCTAGGACCATTCTCGAACAATTCTCAGCACCGGTGTCGTGCAAGAGGTATTCTGTGGGACGTGCTGAGTTCAACTCCTAAATCATTTTGAGAATCTGGAAAGAATTCCCATCGTTTGATGAGTGAATCCTATGACGTGATTTCCGAAGATAAATCGGGAGAGCCCATTGGGGGCATGGCCTGGGGGTATACATCCAAAAATTGCTGAAGCTGCCTCCTAGCTCTCTGCATTATATCCTGATCCTGGCTCGTTGTCATAGATATTTCCATGTCCTCGTCAGTCTTCCTCATAGTTTGCTGTTCGCCTTCTGATAAGCCTACCCGTTCGTCTAGCGATGACTTCATTTTTTCAGGAGACCGCGAGACACTGGACAAAAATTCATCCCGTGACTTGTACTTCTCAAGCAGCTCTTGACCCGCAATCAGTGCATCGCTAAATACTCCAGCTTCCCGCAAACCTTGTATGATGACCTGTCATACATCCACGCATAGTCTATCAGATTTCAAGCTAGTAATGCTTCAGCCACCCAAAAGAATGTTTCCTCGGTAGTATCTTCTGGCACTTTAAATCTGAGTGGATACTTAAGTGGATGTACGAACGCGTTGCATTCAAAACTGGTTGACTCGAGGGGCAAAAGTACATTTCGATCCAAATATGATAGTTTTGAAAACTTCAACATTCCCTTCATGAGCAAAAGGTGGTCATAGAGAGCAAATGTTACCATCGGTGCATAAATGCGTGTAAGCAGACCCTTCCTCATCAACTTCAGGTTCAGCTCTTTGTCTGTCCATACAACATGTTGACGGTACCTGAATACAAGGAAAAGACGAATGGCTAGCAATCAGACAAGACTGTTCAGCATGTTTGACTTTGGTGAGTAATGTCAGTCAGTTACAACCAGAATTTATGGAAGACCTGAAAATACGCAGCGAACAGGCGTGAGAAAATACGGTGCAAGAACACATCAAACTCGTTCAAGGAGGAGAGCAGACGCAACATACCAGACTCGCATCTCCTCCTCGGTGAAAGTTGAAGCAATGATGAAGGCCTGTGATCAGAGTTGTCCAGGATTAAATTGCAGTATACCCCAAAGAAATGACAGAAAGAGTCGTCGTCAACGTCAGAGTGAGATCTTAGGAGTTCCTTTGGTCGGCCTCTCGCAACTCTCATACCCACAATCAAATACACGAAAAATGGTACATTTTTGCGAGAAATCGGTCATCCGGGAGGTCGTTGGCTTGTCCCTTTCCCTTTAAAATTTTTGATCGATATTCAAGGCACATTGGAATAAAATTTTCGGAACTGCTGCAAGCTGCTACCTCAATTCATTTTGAAATATTCTTTTCGCATTCAATACATTCACCTTGCTTGACATTTTTATCTTCTCCTCACATAATCCTAGTACCTACTTCTAGAATTATCAAAAGTTTGGTTGGGATACTCACATCGCGGTCAAACTCCAGCATGAAACACTTTTTGACGTCTTCCTTTGTGGGTTTGCATCCACATCTATCTCTCCTTGATGTCAAGTCTGAAAACTTTGTGTAGGTAAAGTGCAACACAGCTGCTTCCTCCAACTTAATCTCGCTGAAAAGATAAAAGATCGATATAATAGGCATGCATTAATATTTGCCTGCCACAGTCCGAAGACCATAGACGCACAGCCTTGGAAGACCGGTCAATTGTCAACACTAGTGTGAAGCAATTTTGACCATACTCTTCAGCATTAGCTTAGCCGAACATTTTTATCAATGTGAAAGATTGCTTCAGAAAAGCAAAAGAAGAAAGCCTACTTGGGATTCTTCATATAATTGTGCCATCGATGAGCTCCATTGGGTCGTAAGTGGTTCTGTACACGAGCAGCAGCCTTGCCATTCCCGTAGGTCAAAAAGTAATTCGGATTGCCTCGGGTTGCTTCACGATACAATCCGAAGTAGGTTTCCTTCATCACATGGTCATAATTCTTCTTAAACATTGACACCTGAAAAGGATGAGCAAAGCATGAGAATTACAAAATTTCTTTACAGCAAGACATCACCTTTCGCGGACAGATTGAACATTAGACTCGACATCCAAAGTCACATAATCTTCATTCCAAGGTCTATGTTTCTGTCCACATATTTCCACAAAATGCACGGAAGAAACCAGAGACATTAGTGCTCAGACCACGCCCCTATAAGTAAACCAACAAGCTAATCGAATCCTATCATCAAAACTCAAGGACAATATAGCATCTAGCTGCACAAGCTGTGATGTAGATATGTAAGATAGGAAAACTAACCTCAGTGAAGGGTTCTTTGATATCATCACGTTCGATCGCACTCTCCTGAAAGAACCAAAAACTCCCCTGAGTCTAAAAATCTTAAAAGCCAAAAATACGTTCTCCCGAGGCATAGATTTTGAACAAGATTTTTTTAAAACACTGTCTACAAAAGGAACAATCCTGTAGTAGGACAATGACGAGTAAAGACCAAAGGAAAAGAAGAAATATAAAACAGAATGAAATCAGAATAGGGGAAGATGTCAAATCACGTAATATGTAGAGCAGAAGGCATGCAAAACCAAGCAGAATGAACATACTGTGGGCAAAGCACAGAAGTCTTCCCCAAGCCAGTAACGGTACAAAACCCGTTCACTTGATTATTGGAAAAGAAGAAGTCACATTCAAAACATTTTGAGGCAAACACTTGGAAAACTGTATCTACTTACGTAATTCGGGAAAACGACCATATCCACATCATCGGCGACCTCTCCAAGCAAACGCCTCAATGAAAATTCTGAAGAACCAGCAGGGTGCAGCAATTCATCGGTATCAAGGTGGATGATCCAGTCCATTCCAGCTGCCTGTAAAGCCAACCAAACATTCACGGTCAATACTTTATGAACGTTCTCTTATAAAGAGTTTCATCTTGAAACTTTGTCCATGTTAACAGGGCGTCCAGTAAAGAATTTAGTCCCTTACCCGAGCCATGACAATAGCCATTTCCATGTTCAGAGACTGTCTCACAAAGAGTTCATAATTACAAGGTCGGAAGAAGAAACTTGATAACCAGGTCTCGTTCCAGATTCGACTGCGAGCACAACGCAGATCAACGCTATTAGAACCTTGTGTTTCGAAAATGTTCCTAGACTTGACTTTGATAAGCGTCTCGTACAGGTGCGAAGGTCTGATATAAGGTTAAAACCCGGACATTTTCCCAACGTAGTTCGATAACTATTGGCGACATCAGATTAGAGAAAGTTCTCAAACTCGAGACAGCAATCAGACCCAAAAAGGACGTATGGAGATACAAAACAGAGTCTTCAATTGCAGTACATGTAGAAGATCAGAAATGATGACGTTGAATAAGAGCAGCAAGCTTCTTGGACATATACAAACGCACGAATGCATGCCGTGAAACAATACAGCGCTTAAACCACTTGTGAAGAAATGAAAATAAGATCAGCATTGAACATTCCTGTATTAAGTACAGGCACTTCAACATCAAAAAGGTAAGCAATCATCTAGAAGCTCTTCCCAGAATTTCATGGCGTAATTTTGTAGTCTTGCAGCTGTTTTCAATTCACTATTCGAAAAATAATATAAGTGCATTCAATGAGAGAGGGACACAACTGTTCCTGTAAACAAAAAATCATAAAAGCAGGCTGCACCTTTTAGCTTGCTTCTCCTCAAGCTCCTTCGTCCTATGTACAACTTGTACACCCTGCGATAAAGCACTGTGAAATTGAGTTTAAATCCACTACAGAAACAAATTGTTGCAATCTAAAATCCCAGCGAAAAATCCCTCTTTGAAGATGACCAAGTTCCAACGCAAACCCAACTTACAGGAATGGCTTCTAGGACAGCCGAACTGTTCCTGGAAGCTGCTTTTCCTTCGACAAATAGAAGAAAGTTGGTAACACCAAGAACTCGATGATAATACAACCAAGGCAAAATCTGGTCCAAACCTGCAGAAGTACTCGTACATATGCATATCTGAACACACAAAGCATTATTTTAGGTCTTCCGAACTTCGAAGTAGGACATCAACGACCCTCCCAGACTTTCATATCAAAAAGATGTACAGAAGTCCAAATTTTCTCACAGTCGCAACGCAGAAACATTTGAGACAATTTCGATGCAGAAAATTCAGCCAGTAACCTCACTGCTGTTTCAACAGTAGGGATCCTAAACGGACGGTATCCTAAACTTAAACGGACTTTCAAATTCGAACAGGACTACGCTAAAACAAGTAAAGTCCACACTTCAATTAGCAAAAGCAACTGTCGTTCCTGACTGACATCGTTGTCTCATATTCTGGATAAAGTTACAAATACCCGAGTGCAATCACAAGCGAACGGAGAAAAAAACAGGATGTTTCAGAGCAATATGATGGCACCATGATCAGAACAAATAGCCGGAAGTCAATCAGTCAGTCGGTCGGTACCTTGGGCCTGGCTTCGCCAACAATGGCATACTGCCAACCAGGATGATGAGGGAAAGAGGGAATGTTCCGCTTGCTCAGAGCATCGGTGCTCGCACCAGCACAATCGCTGGTGGTGATGGTGCGCCCACCCGAAGGCGAGTTGCTGAGCTGCACTCCGGGCAATCTGGAAGTGTCACCCCCCAACCGCCCGATGGTGGCAGGGTCCGATAGAGCGCCTCCCTTCCACTGCAACCCGAAGGCGAACGCAGCCAGCCCCAGAGGAAGCATCGTCAGAGCCCACAGCAAAATTCTGGAGGTGCTGTGCTGCTGCGGTTGCTGCGACCTCGGCAGTTGCTGCAGAGGTGCGTGCCGCGAGTAAGGCCCGCCCGCCATTGGGCGGTACCCTGCTCACTCAACTTACAATTTCCGAAACCTCTCCAGCATTCAAATCAATCCCCTCCACTCTTCTCCCAACTACCAATACTGCAATTACACCCGCTCCTCGACGATGAAAAATTTCCGTGGTACCCGAATTTCCCCCCGCGACCTCTTCCTCGAGCTCCGTTTACTATTTAAACTCCCTCCCGCGATCGCCAGATTGGGTCTACAATGACATTCTCATGAGTCCGCGCCTCACAGACACCTCATCGACATATTAGAATGTGACGAATGGGAAGCGAAAAGAAGGCTGGATGACTTCGTTGTCCTCGACTTTTCACAACATGGCTACGGCGTCATATCCGGATCTCGACGTGTAGCAAAATAGGTGAGGCCACTTCCGCGTCCCTCCACAAATTGAAAACGAAGACGACGACGAGCAAACCTGAGGAATCACGAGGCGTGATCTCAATTGTTGTTACAGATTCCGGATCCCATTGTTGCTGGGATTCGAGACATCCATCACTTGTATTCACTCCTTCGTCTTCCCTCCTGCCCAACCACCCGAAACACCACAGATGGATCTCCCGAACTCCAGACACCGCACAAGCGAAAAACACACGGATCCCTACACAGATGCCAACAAACCGCCGGTCCCGATTCGAGAAACCTATGCAACCGCGTCCTCAAACGCCTGGTACCTCGAACGCTGGAGTCAGGAAAACTCAGGCAGCAGCAGGCTGAAGCGACCCACTCGCTCCTCTGAAATTTACTAATGCTTCCACTTCCGCTTCCACTCGCGCTCTCAACCCCAAATTCTCACCGCTCGTGATCATCACCAAACCGCCAGCAGAAAGAGATCCACAAAATGCGAAAAGTGGCCAGAAAATTGCAGACCTGCCAGGGAAAACTCTTATAGAGCAGAGCAAGTCCGGCATGCAGACAGGGAGCGAGCGAACGAGCGAGGGAGAAGGGGAGGAAGGGAAGGGAGGCAGAGAGCAGAGAGACGGGAGCATGGAATGGAGGGAAGCACGGAGTCAATGCAGGAATGACGCCACTCGAGAGGGAGGGAGGTAGGGACAGAGGCAGGCAGGAAGGAAGGAAGGAAGAGAGGAGTAAATGGAGCTCAAAAGGGGCGAGCAACTCGGCAGCAAGAAGACGAAGGCAAGCGGACAAACTGCGCTGTTTGATTTGAAGCAGCCTCGAAGCAAGCTTCTGAGCTGCTGCCGCTGCTTCGGCAACGTCTTCGTGTCGATGCTTCTGCCGACCCCACCATCGCCTCTCTCTCTCTCTCTCTCTCACCTCCTCCTCCTCCTCGATGCTGGGCTTCCCGTGAGTCCCGTCGCTCGCCTGCCACTCTTAACCTCCATACCGTATCCCGATTATTATTTATTTCCCCATCGACGCACATTCCAACCATCAACCATCAACCATCAACCCTCCTTCATTCTTCTGACTCTTTCGTGATCCCTCTGTCGGCCTCTGCATTTCCCATTTTTCCCCTCGATTTTTCCGCCAATTGCGCCACTTCTCTTCTCTTCTCTTCTCTTCTCTGGGCTCGTGATGTATTCTCGGTTCTTTTTCTCGTCCGCCTTTGGCCATTGCCACTTTGGTGCATCATGGATGACGGCCTGGGGCCAGCTCTCGGGCTCGTCTTTCCAGTGCTCGCGGTAATGATCCGAGCCCGGGAATATCTTCCGGAAGTGCCGTTCCTTCTGTCCATAATTATTGCTTCCAGTTCAGCTTCATGTCTTGCACTCGCCTCTACCCCTTTTTCTTTTTCTTCGACTTCTTGTGACGATTTATAAATTTCTCCATTGTGAAGGTGAAAACTAGACCCTCGTCGGTTTGAACGCCGGCCACATGTGCCGACATCGTGCTCGTCTTTATCTCCTACGTCGTAATTTCGTCCACCAACTTTTCAAGAAGGAATGAATATTGAGCGTGCATGCAATGATTCAAGGCCTACCTTGCCCTCAAGATACAGGTTGAAATCTTGCGCGACGGATCAGATACAACTTCTTGTTATCATATTGATATTTTATTGAATGAGTAAATTATACAGTCGATTTAAATTAGTATTATATATACACATATCGATTATTTTATTCAATTCCATTACAACATTCAGGAATTCTTCTTGTAATGGATATTCATTATGTTTTCAGGTTTATTTTACAACAATAGTTTTTTAGTAAATATCACGTCATTGTAGAGGTTGATTTATATCATGTTTTATATTGATGTTTTTACATAACACCTTGATTGAGTTCTCCAGAGGTTGGTAGGGCAACATCTTCATGAGTTACTCATACAGTCTGAAAGATATAATAATAAAGTGTTTCATGGTCAAGACTCTTCATCAGTGTACTTTCGTTTGACGTCCTCAATCTGTTTGGACTTTACATGCAGATCACGTTACTTGTGAGAGTTAATTAGACGATTTAGACCGTCCATTAAGTTGGTACGGGAATCAAGTTGTTGAAGATTTGGACAGATGATACAGACGCAAACATCATGATCCTCAAATATCCTGCTTCTCAAACCGTTCACGAGGGCTATACCTATTAACTTAGCTGCGGAAAAAACTTGAAAAAGTTAAAATAAATCCATATCTTCGTTGTAGAATGCATTGGAGTTATCTTGCAATATGATGATGACTAATCAACATTAAAGGACTAGAACAACCTGTCCAAACCGAAGGCGGTAGTATTTTCATAATTTCATCATCGGAGTAATCGTTGGGAGATAACTAGGGAAGTGTTAGTTATACTTCACTTACTGCTAATTAGCCTTCACCCTCCTATACGTTCGTCTCTGATTGGTTGAGCGTCTTATTTTGGAATTAGTTGCTACTCATACACGAACGTTATAATCATGTTATGGACCATTCAGATAACTTCATATAGTGGAGTGACGGATAACTAGACTCTCCCGGATAACTCTTAAGGTAGATATACATGTCTTCTTTTATGTTAGGTTAGGCCATTAAACGCAAGAGAGAACATTAACTCTTGGAGAATTTGGATCCTTTACTTCTAATGAGATAAACACACAATGCAACACAAAGGTTTCCTAGTTTTGTATGACATTGAATTTACTAGAATTAAAAAATCAAAGTTATTATATTAATCAACTAATCATTATTCAACTATCTAAAGTTGACAGAAATTTTATTTTTTCTTGTAGAATTTAAAATTTTAAATTTAAAATAAATCATCTTAATAGGAGTACCTAAATTTTCTTGAGACTAACATGTTAAAAATGAAACAATATTTTTTTCAAAATGAAATTGGTAAAACATGAAAAAGATACAAACTAAATACAATTTTCATTTTTGTGTTAGATCGATATTGCAACTCTGATCGATGTAAACAAAAAAATCATCATCAACACTGTCATCTCATCTAATCATTATTGCTTCTAATATTGAGTCTACGCTCTTCAATTCCATTATTGCTGAGGGAGTGGAAGATGTTCTCATGACAATATCTCATTATTCATAAACTTCATAGACTTGAAACTTAACGCAATTGTTATCTCTAACAAAAATGTTCTCTTGGGCCCCGTTCGTTGTGGGCAAGAATGTTCTCATATAGAACTAGATTAATGTCCAAATTTGAATTAGGAAACGAACCTTTACTTATCACAGTCAACCTTGAAGTCTGAATTCGTGAGCATATGTTAAACCTATTTACTGTGGTTCTGGAGAGCTCGGTCTAGTTATTGTTGGCGTGTGCAGTCTGATCCACTGCCCTTGAGATAATCGACCGAGCCAAACAGATAGAGAAAAAGTAAGATTTACAAATTAAGAGATTCACGTGCAGTCTTGCTGAAATTCCCTACTTTTCCCGATGTTTACCCACCGTGGAGTGGTAGAAAAATGCATACATGTACTACCGATACTGAACATGTTGTCAATCATGTGAGCCTATAAGAAGACTACAAATTCAGACCAAGTAGTAATAATTAAAGGAAACCAAATTGGATTGAAAATTTCAATTTTCCGGAAAAAGTGATGTCTGATAACGACTCCATGTAAAAGCATAGAGATGAGGCAAGGTAGGCAAATATTTAGACAAGATATTTAATATTATTTTTTTCTCACATGGGGTGGGTGATGATATTGGGGCTGTGATAAGTGTCTAATGATACTGAATGACTGGCAAAGAAGGACTGTCAACTACAGATTGAGGATTTAACATTTCCTTAGGTGTTGGTAGAATGTGAACAAATCTGAAATGTACAATTGCAGCAATGTCGGAAACAGTGGCACCAAAAGTCTCTGCTTGATGCATTTATTATGAGACTCTGACTGAAGTCAACAATATCCACTTCCTTTGACCAGGAAATATTAAAAAATAAATATACAGAATATTAGTTGTGAATGATTCATGAAACTGTATCATCAAATATTTTGATTAGCTTTCTTACACAATGATAGTGGACATGTTTTGGACCTTGATTTCCACTCAAAGGAAGGCCAAGCGGATCATATATTAACCTAATTACAGTAGACTCCCTCTGAAGTAAGCATCCGGATTAAGCACTCATATTTTATAAAAAAAATTTAGGAATCACATTTCTTTAGTTGAGTTTTTCATGGATTTTAAATTGAGTCAAGTTTTGAAGATTCTTGCGTTTGAACTACGGAGTGATAGTCCTGATTTTACATTGCAGCGATTCAAACAATTTTCTAACATCATTAAACTTTTCTTCAATCTCTTTTCAAACTTTGGAGCAGAACAATTGATACTGTATATCAACAAATTGTTCATAAAATAAACTTAATTTAATTAAAAACAACCGTGTTTTCTAATCCGAATCTGATTCTTGAGAGATGAAAATGTCATCATTGTTCAGATTCTCTTCAACCATCTTCATTGTCTCCAAAAGCTCTTCGATGTCTTTTATGCAACTGCAATTTATTAACCTCTTTCATCATCGACACTAACGATTCATAAGTTTTTCTTAACCCACAAAAATATTTAAAGCTGCGATAACATGTGCAACTTCTGTCATTGACTATTTCATTTTGTTCATTGTTTCCTCGTAGACTTCTCAAGTCATTATTTCCGCCTTCACAAATGCATTTTTGATGGAAATTGGTGACACAATTGCGAAACTTCTTTAGCATAACTCGCAGCATCTAGCAAATAAATTGGAATCTCATTTGCAACTTCAGCATGAACATGTCGCAATTCCTGCCCATATTTAGTGTTTAGTTTAAATTTTTCCCCCGTTTGTTCCACATCTATTTATAGCTATTTCACTAACATCATACTCGCGACTGGAGCACTTTTACTGGGAGCATAGTCTTCTTTATGTTATCTGTAATATTGAGGCGTTTTCAGTTCGATTTCTTCTATATTGCTGCTAGACCAGACGATTAGGTTGTGATATTTCAAAAGAAATTATCTAATAGCTAAGTTCCAGGGTCAAGTTGAGTATTTAGGCTGCATTACAAGTTAGGTCCAATATAGTTTTCTTAACGTATCCCGAGTGTTATTAAACACTTTTCAGATTACATATATCTTATTATTTTAAGCTTGATCATGAAATATATTCTATTATCTATGAAGTAAAAAATTAAAACACAAGATATATTTAAACAATCAAACTGAATACATAAGAAACTAATTTTTTTTATTTAATTCGAGATGAATCGATAAAGTGATTGTTCACAGCACTTGTATTTTAACCTGAAAGTTAGGTGGTTTATTCATCACTGCATCACACAACCCAATAAGCTTATATTAGAGAAGTAATTTTAATCAATTTAAGTATGATTGGTTAGAGAGTATTATATCAACCCTATCGAACGAATCAAAAAATGCTAGCGGTAATTATTTGAATTTCAATAAAAATTTTCAGCCTAGCAACATTTAATTAGATATACGCGTGTTTTCTCTAGAGATTTTCTATAAAAAGTTACTATATACCAATAATTTTCTTTATCAAACTACTATATACCAGAGGCCAACTTTTTACTTCAAATTTTTACCCAGAGCATGACCATCAGCGGCGAAATATGCTAACCCATGCTATTCAAATTACGCCCATGTATTCAAATGTTGCTTTTAGCTCGAATTAAGTCAGACATTCATTTTCAGGTCGTTTTGGGGTTCCGAGCATCAAGCAAGAATCCATAGATGTAGCCTATGTCCACATGCCTAAAAGCAACAATGAACATGCCCCCTTGAAACCTGCTATGACCTAATGATCAAAGGTAGGTTATTCCCACAAGTGAGTCAAAACATTGCACTTATGAGCAAAGGAAGGATGGGAAAATGTCCTTGGAGTTACACGATGAGAGAAACTGAAATTATGGGCACAAAAACCTAGAAAATTATAATTTAATATTCTGGTGCTCAACAGTTGCTTCCCACATCAAAAATTCCTTACACTTTTCACCTTTTTCCTTCAGTTTGGTGGCGTGGTACCATTCAAATCCAGCTGCACGAGCATCCTTAGATTACTTGCGTTGGCATAATGTGATTCTCAGTAACCTCTTCTCTTTGATTGCCATGAAAGTTTTCCTCGATATAAGTCTCGATTGACATGACACCACGAAGTCCTTCTGGATCATTTAGAGACCAAACTGTTAAGCAACTGCAGAGTATCTTTAGGGAGCTAAAATGTATTTCCCTGCGATTCCTGTCACGTACATAACCAACAGACCTCTCTGCACAAATCCAGACTTGTACTAGCGCCCATTGAGGATCATTCGTAGTCAGGAATCTTCAGCTACTGATCATGGCCGATAAATCGGATTGTACCTCATGGTGATAAATTATATACATTCAATCTCGATCTGAAAAGTGCTCTTGTCTATCCTGTCATTCACGGAAAAAAGACTGTTATTATTTCCATCATATCTTACAGGAGGACACGAGAGACCAGGACGGTTCAAATACAGGCACAGTGCGACGACTATAAGTGGAGTACATCCAGAACACGGCTATATTCCATACAGTCACGAAATTTGGCCTTGTCTGTCTTTGCATACTTCTAAATATGGTGTTTGATTCCATTGCACTGAAATGCATACAGCTTTAACTGTAGTCAGACGCAGTACGTACATAACTTTTCCTGCGCTTGGTTTCATGTCTGTTCACTTCCCATACGGTTGGTCTCGATCTTTGACCTTCATTGATACATATTACTCTGAATCCAGATCTGTACTCACCATCTCCGCTTAGCACCTTGGCTCTCCAGAACATGTTTGGTAGACTCGGTTGACCAGCTTCATAGCATTCTCAAGACCTTACGCTCTCCGCACGCGTGGAAAAATGTTGCTCGGCTCAGCATTCTACCTTTTCCGTTTAATCCATGTACTTTTGCCTCCTTCGTTACGCCTGCGAGGCAGGCTGGCTCATCCAAGCTCTACCCGTGTAAGCTTTTTGGCTATGAGCTGTCCAGTCTTGTTCAAACGTCCTTCCTAGAGACTTTAACCTTGTTATTGAACTCTTTGTAGATCTCTGGAATCCAGCATCATCGTGTGTTTAAACACACTTCTGGCCTCGTTGTACGTTGTTACATGTACTCGCTCCTGCGGTCGTACACAGTGAAATGAAGAGAATGTTTCTGATCCGAGAGGCAAAACTCTGAGGAAAGTAATCTAGACGAATCTCTGAAAAACAACGACTAGACTTCTTTCTCCAGCATCATATTACCCAAACGCCATCAAAAGTGCCAATGACATAGAAAGTTCAAGGTTTGGTAATTTCAAAATTGAAAAACATCCTCGAAATCCTACGGTACTGATGAAGAGAGCGATGCCTTACTTATATATTTCACGTTATATTCATACATGTAGAAGCGTTCACTTGAGTCACAAGACAAACTTGTTGAAACTTCCTCGGTGTATTACTATCGCTCTTATACACAAGAGATGCTGTTGTGATGATGCTAGGAAAGCTTTATGCTAGGGGCCATAACCTTATATCTCCTCACTAGGATCCTCACCAAACATCTCCTCCGTGTACTTGTTGTACCCAGTCCAATCTTCCGTGGGTTCCAACAACTCAACTCCGCTTAAGTGGTACTAATACGAATTTCTAAAAGCATCCACGGCAGGAGGCACGAACCTTCCCCGAAACTTCACTACTGTCTGAACTTGTTTGCAGAAGAAGGCAGATATTAAAAAAAACGATCGTGGATATAGTTGATGATTCTGACAGTGAAACTTGAATAGCGCCAGCTATTTTATGAATATGATGAAAGTGTTCCGCCACTTTCTCCGGCGGAATAAATAAAATTTTATACTGCAGCTCTGACGCCATAGATAGGCTAAACTACAAGATTGATATGACACGTTGAGCTACAATCTCAGTCTAATACAAATACGAAAAGGGTAGCTGCTATCCCAATGTTGCAGCTCTCAGTAATCACTAAACAAATCCTTTCCGCAATCGGGCAGATTTCCTAGAGGTTTTGGACTAAAATCCAGAATATCAGCTGATCTTTCAAATGGATAAACGGCGGCCCATCTCAAAAGCCTGCAGAAGGTCAGTTGACATGACAGGCTATCAATAAGATAATGCATGGGGAAGCTCAAGAACTGGACAGACGTCTCAGTGTAACAGGATAAATGACAGACGATGAATTTACAAAACTCAAACAGCAGCCAGAACTTTGGGAGACTCTTTGGGCAAGTCAGACGTTCCGGGGAATTGGCCGATATCATGGCCATCCACGCTGTTGTACAAATTCTGGAGCCCAACACTGAATTCTTCCGGGTTTTGATCTCCTTGATCGCGGTAGTTGGCGATGTGTTCTGCAAGAGCCATGCCACTCAAAGCCGCTGCCTCCAGACTCGATCCCAGTAGCCAATCCCCACAAATTCCCACCCGGCCTTGTGCATCAAATATACAGGGTATCTCTGGTGTGTTGGTGGGCAGAGCTGCGCCCCAGAGTTGCAGACGACTGTAAACCGGCGCTGGCAACGATCCTTCTGATAATCCGAGAGCAGTTTCGACCCCGAGAAGCATGTCCCGGGTCACTTTCTCAGCTTTCGCATGAGGGATGCTTTCCTGTGGAACTTTGTTCTTCTTTCCGTAAGGGCCCGTACTGAAGAAAGTCCAGCACTGCGGAGACTGCTCAGCGCCATTCAGCTTGGCGGAATTGTTGCCCATCCATGACAGAGAGTTGACTCCTTGTACGAACGCTCCTTCGAAAGGGGCCGAGGGCAGAGGCTCCTCGAAAGCAGCCAGCAGGGCCCAGATGGAGCTCAATTCGAGTCGCTTCATCTGGCGAGCAATTTGTGCCACTCCCGCCGGAGCCAAGAGACGATTCGCACAAATGCCGTTGTGTGCAATAACCACAGCGTCGAACTCACCTTGAGGTTTTTTGTTTTCGCTCAATGTCCAGCGTCCTTGCTGAGCGGTCATTCTACTGATCCAGCACGGTCTCCTCACCTCTATTTTGGTCGCCTGCGACACAATGTGGTCGGCCAAGTACCTCATTCCATTCGTGCCCACATACCTCGTGGCGGCAGGAAGCTCGGTGTACTCACCACCGGCTTGCAGGTTCCCAATGCTCCCTTTCCATTCCTTCACTGCTCCCTCGGAGATCCAGCGATCTACCAGCTTCTGGAAACGGGGGTCGGTCACGGTGAAAAACTGTGCTGCGTGGTCGAATTCCAAGCTCTTCGAACCGCGCTGGACCACAGACCTCGTGGCCATCCGCCCTCCCAGACCGTGCTTCCCCGTGTCGAAAACCGTCGATTTGATGCCCAATTCTTGCAGTGTCAGAGCACAGACTAGACCCGACATACCTCCGCCGAGAATGGCGATGTTGGGGTTCTTGTTCATGGGGGTTTGGAAATTCACCGGCTCCACCACGGGCTTCTTCTTCTTCTCCACCTCCTCGACCCACTCTCTCCGCCCCGTTCTGTCATACTGCGGTGCTCCCCCGGAGGACTTTCCCGCTCCGCCTCTCTCGTCTCTGAATGACCTCGCCGTCCCAGAATTCGACGGTGCCCCTCCGGAAGAGCTGGAATTCCTCGCTCCGCTGGCGTCTGATCTCCCGTCTGCTCCGCCCTGACCTCGGCCACTGGAAAACCTACTGGGCCCTCTTTCGCTCGACCCAGCAGCAGCAGCAGCAGCCGGGACGGGCTTCCCTCCATTCATCCTCCGCTCGTAGGCCTCCCTGTTGCGCGCGGTGGCGTCTGCTCTGCCACCGGAGAAGCTTCTGGATTGAGCATTGTCATCCTCATCGTTTCTGGAAGCTCTCGGCGCCCACCTTCCTGCTCCCTCGTTGCGATTTTGGTACGACCCTGCGCCGGGAGCCCTCCTTTCTCCGCTACTTCGCATCTGATATCCGTCCCTGTCTCTGCTGCTATCACTAGAAGAAGAATTCGGTGCGCTAGAGCGCGCAATTTCTTTGGGACTTTTGCGACCAGCGAAGCTTTTCACGGTCACTTCGCCATCTCCCTCGTCGTCCGAGTCCCACTCGTAGCGAAATTCTTCCGCCTCCGCCGGGAATCTTCTCGCAAGCCCACTCTTCAAGGAAGAAATGTCCGGTTTGAACGACCCAGGCTCACCATTCGCCGAATCCCTTCGATCTTTTCGACTAGCCATGCCCCTGATGCTCCCTAAATTGAAAGCGCCGTTTCCATAGAACTCGAAATTGGACCCCAAATTTCGTCGTCCTCGAACTCTCGTAATTCTCAGTCCTGTGACCGAATACGAAGTCACAGTCGCTGCGCAGGAGGAGGAGGAGGAGGAAGAGGAGGGGGAGCAGGAGGAACTTCCAAACAACAGACACTGCGATGCGCGGGACGCAGACACAGCCAATTGCTGCTGGCCAGCAGCTACCAGAGTCCGCATTGCCCCTCCTTCCCACGCGCTGCTCTGCTGCTTCCCCCACTGCCCTCGAAGCCTGCCGCCTCACCCGTCCACAATCACTGCTCAGCTCCGGGTGATTGAACCGACCGCATGATTCTCACGACCTCCCTCATCCGGATGCCCAACGAACGCACGCTGCGAATCTTCCACCATTTACATCGAGGTCCAAACGAACACAATCTCGACGTCGACGTCCGAGAGAACCCGGGGACGAGATGACACTGCGCACGCCCCGCCCGGGGTTTAGGGTTGAGGGGTAGCAGCGAGCGAGCGCTGGTCACCGTATTCTGCGTTCCGGAAATCCCCCAAGTGGATAGCGTTCAATGATGGAGTCAACACGTCGACACCACGTGACTTCATTTGGAATTTGGACTTAGGACTTAGGACTTCTTCTAAGCAAAGGTCCTCGGGCTTTACTTTCACGGACTTAGAGAAATTCCCTTCGAGGACCACAATCTCACTGTAAGACCCCCATATCGACACCCTCTGACCTTCCGTGCCGGTCATGTGTCGTCGCGAAGAGTAACCAATGGCAGCGCGATGCCCTCGTGGGCGCAAGGCAGTATTGTACTCTGCTGCAATATGCAGCAGAGTACTAAGAGGGATGGGATACAATAGTAGATTGCAATGACAAATTATCACTACAAACACATGTGACACGTTCCAAAAGTGAAGAGTTCAATAAATTTGAGTAGTGTATACAAATTTCATGTAAAATTATATATATATATATATATATCTATATCTATCTATGTATGTAATTAATTTGGTTGGGATACTTTAGCTATCACTCATTTTAGGTTAATTAACATTCACTCTATGTATTAGGGTAAGATATAATTAGCCAAGTGGTCAAAACTTGTAACCCCGAAGTACTCAGTTTGTGTAAAGGTGGAGTTTTGAGATTGTAGTCTTTGCATACTAGGAGGACCATGGAACCTCCTTTGCAAGATACCATCCGGAAACAAGATTATGTTCATCGTCAATCCGAAGTGTGCCAACGGAAGAACCGAGGATTCATTAAAGAATATGCTCCTCAATTTTATAGCTTGTCTGGGCAATAATCGGAATATTTTGGAAAAACTCACCACATGTCCTCAGCAGTTTGCGCCACTTAGCTTGCGCAAGAGTCCATCCGGCACGGAGCGGCGGCCGTCATTGCAATCGGTGGGGATGAGACGCTTCATGAAGTGTTCAATGGCTTTTTCAAGAATGGGAAGCCGATCAGTGATTCATTTCCTGCGCAGAAAATAGCTCTCAGATTTATACTCATGTGCACGGGCTTCGAACTCCCTCAAATTTTTGGCTGGAATAGTGACCCACCAGAGCCATAGATCAGCTTTCGGTGACAATAGCTTGAGTATGGAATGCTACTTGGACTACAGTAGCTCTAGGTTCTTCGCAAAGGTACAATTTAAATTGATACCAGGTACTTGGCTCACTTGGCTAATTATCGCTAGTATATGAATGTGTGGTACCCCACTTTTGGCAATTTTGAGGAAATTAAAACATTTTTGGAAAACTGTACCCTGGCAGCATTGTAAATAGCCTTCGGTACATCAAAACAGAGTGAATCCGGAAGATCGCGGGGATTCTCGAGGGATCTTGTAGAATCTGGGATTTGGGGTGCCGCAGCAAGCACAGGCACCACCCTCCCTGCGAGCTCCGCAGTTAGGATCTCTACAGCGCAAGGCGCAAAACCCGCCTTCGGAGGTTGTGTCCGCGGCTGTAGGGAAACCCCCCGTAATTAGGTAAACCCTCGGGCGCCTTGACCAAGTTAGGGTCCCGTTGGAAAGAGCTCGACGCGCTGATTCTAACGAGCCCAAGAACGCTTGGAGCGGACGAGGACTTAGGGAGTTATCGCTACTGGAAGAAACGGAGGCGGTCGCCTACGGCGGAAGGAGTTCGCCACCGGCGCGAATTCCGCCTACGCGGAAGGGGGATTCAAGTTTTGTCCTATGCCCAGACGAAGGCGTTCGCCTGTGCACAGGCAAAGTAGGGTTAGGGAAGGCGCGAAGTCCGCCTACGCACAGGCGTTCGCCTGCGCACAGGCACTTCGGCGTCGGCGGAAAATCCGCCTTGGGCCCTAGAAATGCGCCTTGTGAGGTAGAAGGTGTACGACGCCTTCCGCGCCAGCGCAGCGCAGCGTACGTCGGAGGAGCCGCCCGAGTAATCCAATAGGTACGGACGTGCGGACGGCACGGGTGGATGCGCTCTTGGACGGACGGAGTTGCGGCGGCGGAAGCGCCGACGGAGAGACAAGGAACGGACAGACTGGACGGAGACGGCTGACCACGGTCAACGCCTTCCGCGCCAGCGCAGCGCCGCGGACGGAATTCGCCTGCGCACAGGCGAACGCCTGTGCACAGGAGGATGTTCAAGTTCCGCGCCGGCGGAGAATCCGCCGAGGCCCCTGCCTGCGCACAGGCAGGAGTTGAATTTTTGTCCGACATGCGGACGCACGCGTCAAGGCAGAAGGAGATTGGCCGAAGGGCGGTACGAACAAGTGTACCGCGCAAGGCGGAAAACTCGCCTTCGGCGCTACGCCCCCATGTCCGCAGGGCGACACGCTCGCGGAGTTCAAATCCGCCAATTCGAGCGTGAGAGTTTAATCGACGACGGCGGAGCGTGAAGCCGCGCGTGAGAGCGAAGACCGTTCCAGCGTACAGCCGGCGCGGCCATCAAGTGAGACGTTCTTCACGACCAAGAGACGACCATGACCTTCGACCGGGCGGCGGAGAGCGTCCCATTCTTGAATTCGCGATTCCAATCTCTTGTGCGCGCTGCGCGCATCCATCTGCTGGCTGCAGACCATTCTCGTCGTCGTCGCACAGGAGATTTCTTGTTGATTGAGGGAGAAGTGAGTGCGCGTGATTTGGAATTGAGAGCGATTAGAGTTTGCCGAGAGAGAAAGAAACGCGGACAGGGCGGAAGTAGAATGAGCGGGCGAGCGAACCCCAGGAACGCAATGACGAGACCGAGCAGATTGCGGATGGTGCCACTTCGCCTGCCGCAGAACGGGCTGCGCGCTTTCGAGGAGCGCTTAATAGCAAGAAAGCTCGATTTCTTGCTATGGGGATGGAATTACATCTGCGCGAATATGGTGCGTGAGTGGCTAGAGCCACAGGGACCACCCTCGCGCGGATTGCGTCCGCATGTTGACCGGTGGACAGTCCAAGATTGGGCGCAGGCGTTGGGAAGATGTGCTGGCATGCCAGGGCATCTCCTTTTCGACAGTGAGAGCATCAAGGTGACCAAGCAAGAAGAGGCGCAATTTGTGGAGCTGTTCAAGACCGGGAGGTCAACCAAGAATGGGTACAGGACCCGTGATTACAAGGATCGATTTCGCCGGACTTTGTCCGCGGCGCTGATGCAATTACTGCAGCCGCACCGCGCCTGCTACATCACATTGTGGCAGGTCTCTTTTGTGGAGTGCGTCATCGAGGGAACTCCAATTCACTGGGCGAGCATCCTGCACAGGGTGATGCGACAGCACGCGTTTGAGGAGAAGGGGGGAACGCTAAACCATCTTTCTCCTTTCCTCATCAATTTTTATCGACAGCGGAATTGTTTGACAGCGGCGGAGCTTGAACATTTTCCGCCATTGTCCATCGACCATCCCGGGAAGTATGTGCGGGAGAACGAGGTCGACACTGATGCGGAGGAGTCACCGACTTCTACCCCATCAAGACGGAGGGACGAAGGGAGACACACCCCTGCGGCGCGAGTGCCGCGGAAGCGGCGATGGAGGGAAGAGTCCGAAGAGGAGCAGCATCAAGAACCCTCTGCTCCCATTCGACCGCGGCCGCTGTGCGAGCCATACAGCCGGCCGAAGCAGAAGGCACGCAGACTGGTGTTACCAGCTGACAGTGCAGACACGGCGACGATTGCGACGGAGATAGGAAGTGCGTCGCCAGAGAGGCGAGAGGAAGCGCGGACGACCGCACGAGAGACGGGCCACGCTGCAACCTCGTCGGGAGAGAGGCCGCCTACGGGCCAAGGGCCTCCGGAGTTACCACGTGCGATGCGGACAGATGTTCCGTTTGCGCACAGGCGAACCTCCGCGGACGGACGAGCCTCCGCGGATCGGCGAACACAAGTGGACGTGGATCTACGCTTACGCGTGGGAAGGAGCAGTCCGCCTGTGCACAGGTCACCTGTGCACAGAACACCTCCGCACGTGCCGCCTGTGCACAGGCAAGAATCACCCCCGTTCCAACGCAGGAAGGGGAAGGAGCCGGCGGAAGAACCGCCTACGAGACACCGGCCCTCGGGTCCAGACCCTCCGGCGCACCACGCGCCGCAATTTGCGCCTTCGGCGCCAGGGCCTTCGAGCCGAGGGGATACGAGCAGAGAGCGTGCGGAGGCCGCACCATCGGCGGGAAGTACGCCGATAGATGCGCCTTCGGCGGTAGGGCCTATAGGCCAAGGAACATCGGGCGTGCGGCCCCCGGCCATGTCGCCTTCGGCGATAGACGTCCGCGGCGCTACGCCTGCGGCGGACAAGGCGCCGGCAAACGCGCCTGCGCACGGGCCGGGCACGGCCCCCACGGACCGATCGAGAGAGCAGCAGACGGAGGAGCGGAGTGACTGTCCGCGGGACGACATCTTGATGCGCGATGCGCAATCCAACCCCGCGCAGCCACCCTCCGCTCAATCGCCTTCGGCGACGGACGACGGCGACAGAGAGAATGCGGTAGGCAAGCAACCAGCGAGCGACGGGGATGCCGCTCGGATACATTCGCCTTCCGCCTTAGACATTTTGGCGACGAGCAGCGAGGCTGCAGCCGTGCCTTCGCAGGCAGCACACGTCGAGGACGTGCAGCCCCACTCGGGGCAGTCGCCGACGCAATCAATGGCGACTGAAATTCTCCACTCGGATGATGACGACGGAGGCTCCACGGAAGAAATGTCAGGAGCAGAAGACACCGAGGAGGAGGAGGAGGAAATTGTGGGAGCACCGGCGGCGGCGCTCTCTGAGCAGGTGATTCCGTTGCTGCGGTACTTGGATCGCAAGGTCGATAAATACGCCGACCCACTCCAGCCGGGATCTTACATCGAGTTAGTGCGCAGGAGGACTCGCACTAAAGTCCACACCAGCAAGCTATTAGCTAGAGTGGACCAGGAGTTGAGGGACTTGAAGGAGAAGCATGAGTGCTTGTGGGGACAGTACAAGCTTAATCAGAAATTCTACAAGCACTCCGAGAAGATGAAGGATGAGAAACTGGGCGAGCTCAC